ATCAGGCGGAATATGGCACACTAACAGCACTTTCAAGGCAGGTGAAATTGCCGACCTAGAAAATGTACAGAGAAACTTTCACGGCGCGCATAAGGGAGATAAAACACCTCAAATATTGGGAGTGCTTGAGGTTCCTAAACCTGTATTCCCTGGAACGCAGGAGGGAGAGATACATGATTATATACACCTGGAAAATCCTAGAGGGACTAGTACCGAAGTTGCACACGAAAATCACTCACTACGAAAACAAAAGACTTGGCAGACGATGCACCATCCCCCCAATGAAAAGCAGGGTGTGTCACTAGCACGTTAAGAGACCATACAATAAGTGTCAGGGGCCCGAGACTGTTCAACTGCCTCCCAGCACACATAAGGGGGATTACCAACAGACCCCTGGCAGTCTTCAAGCTGGCACTGGACAAGCACCTAAAGTCAGTTCCTGACCAGCCGGGCTGTGGCTCGTACGTTGGTTTGCGTGCAGCCAGCAGCAACAGCCTGGTTGATCAGGCTCTGATCCACCAGGAGGCCTGGTCACAGACCGGGCCGCGGGGGCGTTGACCCCCGAAACTCTCTCCAGGAAACTCCAGAAGATATCAGAAACACTGCTGGAACAAGTGTCGAAGCCTTCAAGAGGAAACTGGACAAGTATCTTTACCAGGTGCCAGATCAACCAGGCTGTGATGGATATGTGGGGCACCGGGCCTCCAGCAGCAACATCCTGGTTGACCAGGCAAGCACCAGACGAGGCCTGGCCCATGGCCCGGCGCAGAGAGTAGATATACTCTCGAAATTCTTCAAAGGTATATAAAAGGTACGACAGATATTCACTGCTGCCAGGGAGTGTATGACAAAGCTTCATTGATGCCAGAGAGTGTATGACAGAGCTTCTTTGTTGCCAGGGAGATACAGAGCTTCACTGTTGCCAGGGGGTGTATGACACAGCTTTACAGCTTTCAGGAAGTGAATGACAGAGCTTCATAGTTGCCAGGTCGTATTAGACAGAGCTTCATTACTGCCAGAGAGTGTAAGACAGATCTTCATTGCTGCCAGGTAGTGTATGACAGAGCTTCATTGTTGCCAGGGAGTGAATGGTAGAGTTTCATTGTTGCCTTGAAGTGTATGACAGAGCTTCATTGTAAACAGAGAGAATATGACAGAGCTTCACTGTTGCCAGGGAGTGCATGACAGAGCTTCACTGTAGCAAGAGAGTGTATGAGAGAGCTTCACTGCTGCCATTGAGTGTATGACACAGCTTAACTGCTGCCGGAGAATGTCTGAGTAGCGTCATTGTGCCTGGGAGTGTATGACAGAGCTTCACTGCTGCCAGGGAGTGCAAGACAGAACTTAACTTCTAAAAGGATATGTATGACAGAGATTCATTGTTGTCAGGGAGTATAAGAAACACCTTCATTGTTGCCAGGGAGTGTATGACAGAGCTTAACTTCTAAAAGGATATGTATGACAGAGATTCATTGTTGTCAGGGAGTGTAAGAAACACCTTCATTGTTGCCAGGGAGTGTATGACAGAGCTTCATTGTTGCCAGGAAGTGTATGACAGAGCTTCATTACCGCCAGGGAGTGTGACACAGAGCTTCATTTTGGCCAGGGAGTGTATGACAGAGCTTCATTGTCGCCTGGGAGAGTATGACAGATCTTCATTGTTGCCAGGAGAGTATGAGAGAGCTTCATTGATTCCAAGGAGTGTATGACTGAGCTTCATTATTGCAAGGAAGTTGATGAGAGAGCTTCATTGCAGCCATGGAGTGCACGAGAGAGCGTCATTGCAGCCAGGGAGTGTGTGACAGAGATTTGTTGATGCCAGGGAGTGTATGACCTAGTTTCATTGTTTCCATGAGTGTATGATAGAGCTTCATTGTCGCCAGGGAGTGTGACAGCTTCGCTGTTGCAAGAAAGTGTCTGAAAGAGCTTCATTATTGTCAGGGAGTTTATGACAGAGCTTCACTGTTGCGAGGGAGTGCATCACAGAGCTTCACTGCTGTCAGGGAGTGCATGACAGAGCTTTCTTGCTGCCAGGAGTGTATAAACAGAGCTTGGTATAAACCTTGGTAATAAATACCGACAAGTTGGTTTAGAAAGACACGTAAGCAAACACTATAACAGTATTTATTAGAAAACGTTTCGGTCCTGGGACCTTGATCACTTCTAACATACAGAGGTAGAAAGACATTATATATGTAGGCGGAGAGTGAGGTTGACGCACTGTGACCTGAGGAATGTCATAAGAACATAAGAATGGAGGAACAATGTAGAAGCCTACTGGCCCATGCGAGGCAGGTCCTTATCAAAACAACCTCTACCTATGATGAGGACGGGTAGACGATGAAATCATGTGACTCCTGTGTTGTTGGGTTGGTGCTGCTTAAGTATCATGGAGACAGAGAAATTCAGCACCCTCATTCCCAACACCGTTACCTGGCTAAGATACGTTGATGATATATTGGTTTTCTATCCGAGACGTCTCAATATCCAGGCCCTTCTCAACAAGATCAATGCATATTGTAATAAAGTTGGTAGAATTACCGACAATATGTAAAGTAAAAGGACACAAGTGCAACTAATGTGACATTTATTGTGGCAACGTTTCGCTCTCCAGGAGCTTTATCAAGCCATTACATGTATTGTTTGTAATGGCTTGATAAAGCTCCTGGAGAGCGAAACGTTGCCACAATAAATGTCACATTAGTTGCACTTGTGTCCTTTTACTTTACAAGATTAATGCAGTTGAACCATCAATAAAGTTTACACTTGAACTCGAAAATGATGGCAAACTTCC